CATACTGCAGTCTGCAAAAAAGTCCACTTTGTTGAAGAATCTGCCTTGTACACTGATTTTCCACTACTTGTTTCTTCTCAATGACCCCTACTATTTTAGCATATGGAAATCCCATGTTTCTAATCTGAGTTATGAGATTTCCCATGCTACTCCAGATCTATCTCCTCTCTACAATTCTCTAAGTTGGTGTTGGCAGTAGAGACCTCTTTTTCTGTAACACATGTGCATGCATATGGACGTTCTTGAGCTTTAACATGATTTCTCCTTCTCACACAATAACAAAGCTCATCTTGAAGCGTAGATAACAGATGGCAAGGCAATCCATTTTTTTCCCACTTGTCATATTTTCGAACCAAAAGTACAAGCCTCAAATTGGTTTTTAAAACAGGACAGGACAGCTTGTTGCTGAGTAAATTAATATTACATAATAGGCAGAGAACAGCCTTTTGCAATGCATAAAAGTAGAGAAGGAGGCATATATATAGCATACCAAATTATGTACGCCAAAGATTTTCAGAAGAAAATCAGCTTTTGCTCTTATTGATTATAGCAAAGTCCTTGATGATAAAGATCATGAAAAAACCTTATGGGTGTGCTACAACATTTGATTATCCTAATGTGTAGTCTGTAGTCAGGACAAGGGTTGGATAATAATAGAACAGAATATAGAGAATTGGAATAGTTTCCATTTGCAGAAGGGTCAGACAAGGCTGCGTTTTATCACTTTATGTCTTTAACTGCTGAATATAACATAAATAAAGCAGGATTAGACGCAGAGGAGGAAGGCATGAAAATTGGAAGAAGAAATCTGAACAGTTTAAAATATGCAAATGAAAACACTTTATAAGCTGGATATATCAATAATAATCATAATAATAATAAACTTTATTTATACAATATCAATATCAAGCATGGGCAAGTGAAAAATGTGGTCAGCAAAGAATATATCAAAAGAGTCAGAAAAGTTTTGAAGAGCAAATTAAATGGCAGAAATACAATTGTGCTGTCACACGTTGGGCTTATAATAATTGTCTTTTGAACAGGATATGCTCTTTGTGCCCAGCGGGAAGCCGGGTTGCCTTGGCTGAGAGGCCCTAAGGATTTTCCTATACAAAAGTCTTTAGATGCTTGAAAAGTTTAACAAAGTCCTTTATTATTGCTTAGATCTTCAACAATTTAAACAAACACTTCTCAGATCTTCAACAAGTCAAACAAATGCTTCTTAACTTGCCCAAATGGACAGGTAACTGGCTTCGTGAACTGTTTCTTTTCTTTAAAAGGAAAACCCTTTTTAACCCCTCCCAGGCAATCTACTTCCTATGCTTGCTGGTGTGGGCTCTACTCCGGGCTCCAATTGCTTCTTCTTTTCCACGAAAGTTGTGGAGCTGTTTCCCCCGGATGCTGTGAGAAACGAAGCTTGTCTACAGATGGAGCTGATCCACGTCCTGTAGCTAAGCTTTCCACTATAAGACTGAACTCAAAATGGTTCCCTTTCCCTCCCAGAACCCTGGAAAAAGGGACAGAACCAAAACTTAACAATGATAGACAGGTCAATGGCCCTATAATTTCAAACCAAGGGAAGCCACCTTACTGCAAAATGCATGGAACCTTGGAATACATGCAAACACTCAATAGAAAGAAAATGAAGCTGAAGCTCCTGGTACAGCCGTAACGGTACAATGATCAAGGCTATCAACACCTGGGCCATCCCCATCATTAGATACATGGCTGGGATTGTGAACTGGACATAAGCAGAGCTGGATGATCTGGACAGAAAACAAGGAAACTGATGACAATCCACTACTCATTACACCCATGTAGTGATGTCAACAGACTTTACCTGCCCCGAAAATCAGGAGGCAGAGAGAAGGCTTCTGCAAGTGAAAAAAAATGGTAGAAGAAGAGAAACACGGACTGGCAGATTATGTGAAAGGCAGTCAAGAACCAACACTGAGGGATGTCAATAGTAGTAAACTGCTCAAAGCGCAAAATACAAAGAGGGAATACCATAAAAACACAATCCAGGGCAGAAGAGAAAACTGGCAAAAGAAGGCTCTCCACGAACAGTTCCTGGGAAAAATTGAGAGCCAATTTGACAAAGAAAAAACATGGCTGTGGCTCACAAATGGAACTCTGAAAAAGGAGACAAAGGAGGGCCTGATTCTGGCAGCCCAAGAACAAGCCATTCGAACCAATGCCATCAAAGCCAGAATTGAAAAGTCGACAACAGATCCCAAATGTAGACTCTGCAAGGAAACAAATGAAACAATCGATCACATCCTCAGCTGCTGCAAGAAGATCGCGCAGACAGACTGCAAGCAGAGGCACAATACCGTTGCTCAGATGATTCATTGGAACTTGTGCCACAAATATCATCTGTCTGCTACAAAGAACTAGTGGGATCACAAGCCAGAAAAAGGTACAGAAAATGAATATGCCAAACTCCTCTGGGACTTCCGGATTCAGACAGACAGAATTTTGGAGCATAATACTCCTGACCTCACAATCGTGTTAAAAAACTAAGTATGGATTGTTGATGTTGCAATCCCAGGTGACAGCAGGATTGCAGAGAAACAACTGGAAAAGCTGACACGATATGAGGTCTATTTTCCCCAAACTCCATCTGTGTTGATATTTGGGTATATTGAGTACTTGTGCCAAGTTTGGTCCAGATCCATCATTGTTTGAGTCCACAGTGCTCTCTGGATGTAGGTGAACTACAACTCCCAAACTCAAGGTCAATGCCCACCAAACCCTTCCAGTATTTTCTCTTGGTCATGGGAGTTCTGTGTGCCAGGTTTGGTTCAATTCCACCGTTGATGGAATTCAGAACGCTCTTTGATTGTAGGTGAACTATAAATCCCAACAACTACAACTCCCATATGACAAAATCATAATTTTGTTTGCTTGCAGCCCTGGGTTTCAGGGACTCTGCAGATAGGTGGCTTCCATTTGGTTGCAGTCATAGGGCAAGACACCTGTCCGTCATCATTAAGTTTGGTTCCGCCCCTTGCTCAGGGCAATTGGGAAGGGAAGGGAGCCATTTTTTAGTTAAATCTCAGCAAGGAAAGCTAATGTACAGGACATGTGAAAGCTTCCCCTGTACAAAAGCTTCAACCCTTAAGACTTTCCAGGAGAAAAGTCTTAAGAGCAAACCAGAGAACTCCAGGGAAGCCTTCCCAAAGCTTTGAGGAATTTCCAGGGGAGAACAGCGTTAAGAGTCTCCAAAGACTTTCCAGGGAAACACCCCTAAAGATCAAAGAATTCCAGCTCGAGCGTCTACTGCCTTACTGGTAGGTCCACTCGGCACTCGAGACACAGTTCGACCCGGTAGCGGAGCCCACATCAGTAAGGGTTAGATTACAGTCAGCCCGGGAGAAGTTAAAAAGGGATTTTCCCTTAAAGAGGTTATTGAAGACAGCTGCCTGTCCTTCGTGGGCAAGATTAGAATTCACCAGTTGCCTAAAAGCTTGGAATCATTTGTTTAACTTTACTGAAGTCAAGAGAAGTTTCTGTTTGATTGTTCATTAATAAAGAACTTTGTTATACTTCACAAGCCATCTAAAGACTATTTGTGGTGGAAACCACTGAGAACTTCTTTTCGGGCCCCCTGGCTTCCCGCTGGGCAAAGGTTGCACGTCCTGTTTAAAGACAATTATTTACAGGCCCAGCGCGCGACAGAACATTCATGTTACATCCCATTTAGACTACTGCAACGCTCTCTACGTGGGGTTGCCCTTGAAGACTGCTCGGAAGCTTCAAATGGTCCACGCTCGGCAGCCAGGTTACTAACAGGAGCGGCACTCAGGGAGCATACACACTCCTCTGTTGCGCCAGCTCCACTGGCTGCCAGTTTGCTACCGGCACAATTCAAAGTGCTGGTGTAGCCTATAAAGCCCTAAACGGTTCCAGCCTACTTACCTCTCCGAACGTATCTCCCTATGAACCAACTAGGACATTTAAGATCGTCTGGGAGGCCCTGCTCTTGGTCCCGCCTGCATCACAGGCGCGCCTGGCGGGGATAAGAGACAGGACCTTCTCGGTGGTGGCCCCTCGGCTGTGGAATGCCCTACCTGCAGACATCAGACAGGCCCCCTCACTGTTGGCGTTCCGGAGGAAGGTGAAGACCTGGCTCTTCGAACAAGCGTTTGGCTAATCAGTGCAATGGAATATAGGAACACTGTGCAATCGAACATAGGAATATGTAACAAGGATTACGAGAAGGATTCTGATTTGTTGTTGAGGCGCTATGATTAGGATAGTGATTGTTTCTTGATATTGATTGTTATGTAGAATGTAGAATGTGTTTTATCTGCTTTGATACTGTCTTGTGATAATTTGTATTATGTAAACCGCTTTGAGTCGCCTAAGGGCTGAGAAAAGCGGTATAGAAATAAAGTAAATAAATAAATGTATGGAGTCAAAGTTGAGTTGACAGCAGTTAATAATGTGTATGTGTGTGAATTACACTTATACAATCGCACAACATTCTTAGGCAGTAGCCAAGCCCTCATATCCTGGCCACGTCAACTGCAGATTCCTTCCCTAGGCATTCAGTGTGTGATGTCTGGTTCACTGTAAAGCATCCTCCAAAGTTGGGGTGGAGGGGTGTGTGAAGTAGACCTAAATTTGAATCTGAAAAAGTATATTTTCAGTATTGCTCATAGTCATTTCTGGAAATAAAGGGAAGCAATGGGAATTACATTACCTCAAGCGATAACATTTTATTTGCATTTATCCGGAAAATGTTCTGTTTCAGATGCAAGATACAGGAGTTGTTTTGATGATAACATCTGCAAAGTTTGACCTGCAGTAATTTGAGTTTCTTGTAGAATATATTTTTTTTTTAAAAAAAATATTTAGTAGTCAGCACTAAAACAGACACGAATGCTACTTGAGCAAGAAAGGAGATGAACTAACTTAGCTTTTACTTTTTCTCTCGAAATAGAATGTCATGTTTGGCTTTTTCTTTGTAAGCTCTCTTCTCTTTTTGTTTGAAGCTTACAGCCAGAAGGCAGTGAAGTCCTCCTTGGCCCAGAAGTAACTTGTGGTCCCCCAGAAGTGACAGTTTCTACCCCGTTTGCCTTGACAATACCACACTGTGCAGAAGTGAACTCTGAACACTGGAACATTCATGTGAAAAAGAAAAAGCATCAGGGCAAATGGGAGGTAAGTGACACTCTTTCCGGAGAGGAAGAGATAGATGGATTCAAAAATGGATGAAACAACGTAAAACATGGTTTTCCCGGAGAGCTAAATGAGTTGTATATTTTTGATCTTTAATGAGAATGTATGCAAATGACAGCAATGGAGATACTTATATATTTACTTAATTACTTAGCCGATCCCTCGTTGTCCGAGTAGGATAGTCTTCCAAGATCAGTGTACTGGTGGTGGATCCGTAGGTGACTGTGGAGCCCAATTCTTGATCTGCATGTTCTCCCGCAGTGAGGGCATTGGTTTGCAGGTGGAAGGCGGTCCTGGTTGGGGTTGGTGCATTTCTTTCTTTCACTCTCCATTCGTGCCTCTTCAAAATCTACAGCACTGCTGGTCACAGCTGACCTCCAACTGGAGTGCTCAAGGGCCAGGGCTTCCCAGTTCTCAGTTGTCAATGCCAGGGTTTTTTAAGGTTGGCTTTGAGCCCATTTTTAAATCTCTTTTCCTCCCCACCAACATTCCATTTTCCATTCTTGAATTCGGAGTAGAGCAACTGCTTTGGGAGACAGTGGTCAGGCATCTGGAAAACGTGGCCGGTCCTGTGGAGTTGATGGCGGAGGACCATTGCTTCAATTCTGGTGATCATTTTGACATTTGTCCGCTTGTCTTCCCAAGAGATTTGTAGGATTTTCTGAAGGCAGCGCTGATGGAATCGTTCCAGAAGTTACATGTGACGTCTGTAGACCACGTCTTGCAGGAGTATAGCAGGGTTGGGAGGACAATAGCTTTTTAAACAAGCACCTTGGTCTCCCTATGGATGTCCCAGTCCTCAAACACTCTCTGCTTCATTCGGAAAATGCTGCACTCACAAAGCTCAAGCAGTGTTGTATTTCAGGTTAGACTCCTCCAGCTCCGCCCCCCAAAGTAGTTACGACCGGGTTGGTTATTCTTCCTCAGTGGGAGGAGGCAAAAGCTCTCTCCCTTCGCCAGCTGTGCTGGCGAGAGAAAGATAATTCTCCTTGGAAATTCTCCATCTCCTTTTTTCATATTTAATGCAAACCAAACAAATATGAAATAATGCATTGCTATCATGCATACTCTAAACCAGGAGTCCTCAAACTAAGGCCCGAGGGCCAGATACAGCTCTCCAAGATCATTTACCAGGCTCAGGGTCAACCTAAGTCTGAAACGACTTGAAAGCACACAACAACAACCCTATCTCATCAGCCAAAAGCAGGTCCACACTCCCCATTGAAATACTCCTAAGTTTCTATTTGTCATTTTAATTATGGTATTGTTTTAAAGTGTTTTTGCACTGCAAATAAGATATGTGCAGTGTGCATTCATGTTTTATAATTTCTCAAATTTCTCAAATTATAATCCAGCCCTCCAACAGTTTGAGGGACTGTGATCTGGCCCTCTGTTTAAAAAGTTTGAGGACCCTGCACTACAGCATATGTGGGATGGTTGCAATGCTCTGGTTACATCCTATTTAGATTACTGCAAATCTCTACGTGGGGTTGCCTCTGAAGACTGCCCGGAAGCTCCAACTAGTCCAACGAGTGGCAGCCAGATTACTAACAAGAGCGGGGTACAGGGAGCATACTACTCCTCTGTTGCGCCAGCTCCACTGGCTGCCAATTAGCTTCCGAGCACAATTCAAAGTGCTGGTGTTGAACTATAAAGCCCTAAACGACTCCGGCCCAGTTTACCTGTCCGAACGTATTCTCCCCTATGAACCATCAAGATTGTTAAGATCATCTGGAGGGGCCCTGCTCTCGGTCCCACCATCCTCGCAAGCGCGTCTGGTGGGGACGAGGGACAGGGCCTTCTCGGTGGTGGCCCCTCGGCTCTGGAACTCTCTCTCACTGGAGATCAGAACTGCCCCTTCTGTCTTGACGTTCAGAAAATAGGTGAAAACATGGCTCTGGAAATTGGCATTCAACGAGTGAGTCAATATTTTGTGATATGGATGGATGATGACGAACAACAATTTTATTGTGACGACTGACCATTGTAATCATATGTTATGACACCACTTCCCCACCGCCAACTACGGACAACTCCTCCACCACGCACCACTTCATCCAGACCACCACCACTGCTCTACTAACACAAACCGCGTCGAGAAGAGAGGCTAAGCTTCGGACACGACTGACCATTGTAATTATATGACTGTATTTTGCTCTTTTACTGTTTTAGTGTAATATGGAATATGATGTTTTTAATGATTGTTTGTGATATTGTTGTTGGAAACCGGCCTGAGTCCCTCGATGGAGGTGAGAAGACTGGTATACAAAATTTCTAAATAAATAAATACTGCTTTTCTCCCTCTTTGACTGTGATGTTCTTATGCATACAGGAGGTTATGTCGGTGGAAGAAGAAACCACTTCCTGCTACTGCCTCTGGGACCCTTATGCTTGTCACATACTTTTGGACTCATTTGGGACTTATGCCATTATGGGGGAATCCCTTTCTGATTGTTCTGTTAAAGAGCTAAAAGTAGCTGTCTTTGGCAGTATGTCTTGCAACTCACTGGATTACAGCCTGCGAGTGTACTGTGTGGACAACACCCCCTGTGCATTTCAGGTAATGTAGCAAAAGCGTGACTTTTCTTTTTTTGGATGTTGGTTTCTGCTGCTTCCTGGGGAAAGTTGGGGTGCTGGAGAAAGCAAAACAAAGAACATAAAGAGAGATAGGCCAATAAACATATTTCTTTTTTGCAGACTTTGGATTTGGTTGTCTTTTATTACAATATTTATTATTTATTTATTTACAGCTTTTATATTCCGTCCTTCTCACCCCACAGGGGACTCAGGGCGGATTACAGTGTACACATATATGGCAAACATTCAATGCCAATTTTTGACATACAAACATATACAGACATACACAGAGGCTATTTAACTTTTTCTGGCCGCCAGGGGAGCTGTCGCTTTCATCGTCCATCTGCGACGCTGATGAAGCACTTCCGCATTCCCCGCATGCTTCCCCGCTGGAATGCTTTGCTGGAGTCTTCTTTATGGCCTCATAAATCAGTTAATTTAGCCTCCCCACACTTTAAGGTGGTACCTTATTTCCTACTTGACAGATGCAACTGTCTTTCGGGTTGCAAAGGTCGACAACAGGCTACACACAATTGGTTGGAAACCCACTCCAACCCGGGCTAGCTTCGAACTCATGACCTTTTGGTCAGAGTGATCTTAATGCAGCTGACACTCAGCCAGCTGCGCCACAATCCCGGTGCTGTACGACTAACATAGCTACCTGAAATATATTTTTTCAGAGCAGATGAAACCTGTCCTCATCACTGCTTCTTTGCTACCAATCTTTTGCTCTGTTTGTTCATGGCCAAAGTGAAGCCATGCAGTCAGCTTCATCTTTTTCTGTGGAAGCATTTGAAAAGAAAGACGTGAAGAGATATGGCTTCAGACATGTTCCTTTTATGCCACTAACACAACTGGAGAAGACCCTGCCTCCTTATTGCCAATTCAATATCACCATCTCAAATCCATTTCTTTCCTCAGAACACTATAACATATATATTCTAGCTGTCCCCTGCCACGCGTTGCTGTGGCCCAGTCTGGTGATCTGGAAAAATGAAGTAATTATAAAGTGTTGATTTCTAATATATTTAATTTCTTTATTCTTGTGGGTAAGCAGTACTTCTTGTTATTTCTTTGTCAGTGTTGATGTGGAGATTGTTTGGTTTGCCTACTTTGGAACATGCAATGTATCATTGTACTTGCATTGTCGAAGGCTTTCATGGCCAGAATTACTGGGTTGTTGTAGGTTTTTTTGGGCTATATGGCCATGGTCTAGAGGCATTCTCTCCTGACGTTTCACCTGCATCTATGGCAAGCATCCTCAGAGGTAGTGAGGTCTGTTGGAACTAGGAAAAAGGGTTTATACAAGGGGTATTTTTTAAGTAAGGCCCATTTTGTTGTAGACACTAGTAGTTCATGCGCTTACTGCAACGAGTGCATGCGTCGTGTACCAGCATGCCTTGGGAACAACTGTGCTCAGTTTCCGCTCTGTAGCTAACCTGTAAGGTTCTGTTCTGTGCTTTAAGAATGTTTAAGACTATCAACTCATCCGCCGATGAATTTCTGCAGCAGGCAGGTTCCTTGTTGACAAAAACTGTATCACTGAGCGAACCACATGCGGCGGGTGAGTTGACTGTACAGGTTAGCTACAGAGCAGAAACTGAGCACAGTTGTTCCCGAGGTTGCGGTATGCGAGGTTGCGAACTACTAGTGTCTACAACAAAACGGACCTTACTTAAAAAATACCCCTCGTATATCTGTGGAATGACTAGGGTGGGAAAAGGACTCTTGTCTGCTGGAGCTAGGTGTGAATGTTTCAACTGACCACCTTGATTTGCATATTATGGCCTGACAGTGCCTGGAGCAAACTTTTGTTGAGATGTGATTAGATGCTTGCCATAGATGCAGGTAAAACGTCAGGAGAGAATGCCTCTAGACCATGGCCATATAGCCCGAAAAAACCTACAACAACCCACTATCATTGTCCTTCTTTAGGGGCCCCTTTCAAATCTATGGTACTATATCTCTGTGTGTGTGTGAATCATATCTATCTATATCTGTGGATGCATGGCTCTTTGTCAGGAGGGCTTTGATGATGTTTTCTTGCCCTAGTGAAGGGAGTTGGACTGGATGGCCCTAAGTATTTTCTGTTGGTCATGGAGGTTCTATGTGAGAAGTTTGCCTCATTTCTGTCGCTGGTGGGGTTCAGAATGCTCTTTGACTGTAGGTGAACTATAAATCCCAGTATCTACAACTCCCAAATGTCAAGGTCTATTTTCCCCAAACTCCATCTGTGTTCATATTTGGGCATATGGAATATTTGTGCCAAGTTTGGTCCAGATCCATCATTGTTTGAGTCCACAGTGCTCTCTGGATGTAGGTGAACTACAACTCCCAAACTCAAGGTCCATGCCCATCAATGCCCATGGGAGTCCTGTGTACCACGTTTGGTTCAATTCCATCATTGATGTTCAGAATGCTCTTTGATTGTAAGTGAACTATAAATCCCAGCAACTACAACTCCCAAATGACAAAATCCATTTTTTTAGTGATGGTCACTCCTTGGGTTAGTAGGTGTCTTGTGGCCAAAATTGGTGGCAATTTGTCCAGTGGTTTTTGAGTTATGTTAATCCCACAAACGAACATTACATTATGTATGTATCATTGGTGTTCAGAATGCTCTTTGATTGTAAGTGGACTATAAATCTCAGCAACTACAACTCCCAAATGACAAAATAAATTTTTTGAGTGATGGTCACTCCTTGGGTTAATAGGTGTCTTGTGGCCAAAATTGGTGGCAATTCGTCCAGTGGTTTTTGAGATATGTTAATCCCACAAACTAACATTACATTATGTATGTATACACACACACACACACACATACATACATATATAATCAGTGAGGTACAAGGAGATGAACTTCAAAAGTGCACTTGGAAATCATGCAAAACTCCATTTGAAATCTTCTGATTAATAATTAAGCACATATTTAAATAGAGAACTGTCATGAAACATGTATTTTAATAGCTAAAGATAGCAATTTAAAGATAGGTAGCCCTTTAAAATTTAACTAAAAATTAATTGATTTCTACCTTTTTAAATTTTTTTTCCCAAAGCTTAAATAGCCGGTGTGTGTGTTTGTAGGGGGGGATGTTGCAAATTTCTGCCTGGAAAGGAATGCCATGTCCCTGCTCCCAAGCCTATTTACTGCTTTGCTTGTATCAGCTTAAAGTCTATTTTTTTCTGTTCTGTACAACATTGGCTGTTGTTCTTTTTTACATGGCTTTAAAGCAGTGATTCCCAATCTGTGGTCCGTGGACCACCAGTGAAACCACATGTCATCAAGAGTGACTTGTCCCGTGAAACCCTCTTATAGTGCCGAGGCAACAGGGAAGTCGGAAGGGGAGAGGCTGACTACCCATGAAAGTTTATTATCACATCAGCTCTAGATTATTAAATATGGGCAATCAGATAGTGACTATTGGATGTTTTGTATCAGAAACTAGAGCTGATGTGGTCTATCCAATGCAATTCTCTGAATCAGCACCCCAAATAATCAAACCAAATCTAAAGTTGACCAAAAACTGATTCGTAACCCTTAGGTAGTCATGTTGGAGAGAGTTCCCTGGTCAAGTGGTCCCTGGTCAAAAGAAAGGTTGCAAACCACTGCTTTATAAAGGCATGCTACATGGAGCACCAGATGGTGGTAACTGTAATGGCAGTAATAGTGTAGTAGTGCTAACACTATTAGTTCTGGATCCAATGGGCTGGTCATTTTCGGAACTTGCTACTCAGGCTCAGGCTTATTCCTCAGTTAATCTAGTCATTTTGAGCAATTGCATGCAGGAGCTATTTTTGTTGTGACCTGCTTCTCACTGTTACTCCCGGAGCTGTCACTCAAAGCTGTAGGATAGATGCTGTTTTGCACGACACATGCAAAGGAATGGATTATGGCTGCTTTTGGAATTTGGTGCTGAGGTCATGATGATGTGGATGTGCTGATTTTACCTACAGTTTTGTGCTCATCATCTTGAACTCACTTGACAGTAGACTATTACTGGAGTTGTTTTTCTAGGCCTTCTCATTTCATGTCAGAACTAGCCGTCCTCTGCCACGCGTTGCTGTGGCCCAGTCTGTGTATATGTGTTTTGTGTGTATGTATTTGTGTATATGTGTATATATATGTGTGTGATTTTGTGCATGCATTGTAATGTATTTTTATTTTTTGGCTTATTAAGTCTCTTCCACTGTATTTTCAGTGTCTTTATGAGTGATGATCACTTGTTGGCCTGATAGGTGTATTGTGTCCAAATTTGGTGTTAATTTGCCCAGTGGTTTTTGAGTTACGTTAATCCCACAAATGATGTTCTGTCGCGCGCTGGGCCTGTCTTTAATTTAGGATGTGCAACTTGAGCCCAGCGGGAAGCCAGGGACCCCCGAGGAGAAGCTCTCAGGCATCTTCCACCACAAATGGTCTTTAGATGGCTTGTGAAGTATAACAAAGTCTTTTATTAATGAGCAATCAAACAAAAACTTTTCTTGTCTTCAATAAAGTTAAACAAATGCTTCCAGGCTTTTATGCAACTGGTGGCTTCCTAATCTTGTCCTCGAAGGACAGGCAATTGTCTTCAGTAACTGTTTCTTATACTTTAAAGAAAATCCCTTTTTAACTTCTCCCAGGCTGACTGTAATCTAATCCTTACTGATGTGGGCTCCGCTACCGGGTCAAACTGCTTCTTGAAACACTGAGTGGACCTACCAGTAAGGCCAGTAGATTCTCCAGCTGGAGTTTTGTGGTCTTCCAAACTGTTTTCCCTCCGAGATTCCTCAAGGCTTTAGAGCTGTTTCCCTGGAAATCTTTGGAGATCTTTGGATGCTCTTTAGACTGATCTCCCCCGGAAAGTTGAAGCTTTTATACAGGGGAAGCTTGCACACATCCTGTACATTAGCTTTCCTTACTGAGACTAACTAAAAATGGCTTCCTTCCCTTCCCAATTGCCCTGAGCAAGGGGCAGAACCAAACCTAATGATGATGGACAGGTGACTTGCCCTATGACTGCAACCAAAGGAAGCCACCTATCTGCAGAGTCCCTGAAACCTTGGACTGCAAGCAAACATTTAATACAAGTTGGAGCTCCTGGTATAGCCGTACCAGAACAAATGAATATTACATTTTTATTTATATAGACTAGCTGTACCCACCACGCATTGCTGTGGCCAACCTTTCCTCCCTCTTTCTCTCTTTCTTTCTCTCTTTCTTTCTCTCCTTCTTTCTTTCCTTCCTTCCTTCTCTTCCTCCTCCCTTCCTTCCTCACTTTTCTTTCCCTTCCTCTTTCTCCCCTTTCTTCCTTCTCTACCTATTCTTGGACTGCAACTCCCAGTAGTCTTCCTGATCAATCTACCTACCTACCTACCTACCTGCGTACCTATCTCTATCTAATCTATCTATCTGATCGATTTTTGGAGGGTTTCTGGGGGTTTCAATCCAAGAATAGGAAATTGGAAATATGCAGGAGATATATCCAAGGAGAAGAAAGCTTGCAGCTTGGAAGCAGTGCATTTGGATCATCCTCTTCTTCTAAAGGGCCTGGTGTAAGGGATGCTGGGAGCTCTAGTCTGAAAGAGAGTGTGGATATGCTATTGTGTGTTGTGTTTGCCGGAGAGGTTGTTTTTGCACATGCGCTGTAGCATCTTTTTGCCTTTTCGGCCTTTTTCTGTTGTGTTTTTCAGTGTTTGCATGAGTGATGGTCACTCGTTGGACTGATAGGTGTATTGTTTCCAAATTTGGTGTCAACTCATCCAGTGGTTTCTGAGTTATGTTAATCCCATAAACGAACATTACATTTTTATTTATATAGACTAGCCGTCCCCTGCCACGCATTGCTGTGGCCCAGTCTGGTGATCTGGAAAATAAAGTAATGAGAAAGTGTTGGTTTCTAATATATGTAATTTCTTTATGCTTCTGGGTAAACAGTATTTCTTGTTGTTTCTTTGTCAATGTTGATGTGGAGATTGCCTGGTTTGCCCACCCTGGAACATGCAATATATCATTGTCCTTCTTTAAGGGTCCCTTTCAAATCTATAATACTATATCTCTCTGTGTGTGTGAATCATATATATATTATCTATCTATATCTATGGCTGAATAGCTCTTTGTCAGGAGGGCTTTGATTGCGTTTTCTTGCTCTGGTGAAGGCAGTTGGACTGTTCGTCATGGGGGATTCAGTGTGGGAAATGTGCCCCAATTCCGTCGTTGGTGGAGTTCAGCATGCTCTTTGATTGTAGGTGAACTATAAATCCCAGTAACTACAACTCTCAAATGTCAAGGTCTATTTCTCCCAAACTCTATCTGTGTTCATATTTGGGCATATTCGTTCCAAGTTTGCTCCAGATAATAATAATAATAATAATAATAATAATAATAATAATAATAATAATAAACCTTTATTTATACTCCGCTACCATCTCCCGCAGGACTCGGTGCGGCTTACAAGAGGCTGAGCCCAAACACATCATAAAACATAACAACAACAAAACAACAATAAATAACTCATAAAAGCAAAAACAATACAATAATAACATGACGCATTTTAAAAACTTGTGGCATGGCCAAATGTAAGAATTAAAAATTCTTCTAAGGGAAATAGGAGGGATATTTTGGGGTAGGTAGGCTTGTAGACAATTCTAAGTCTCTCGTAAAGTGCATTTAGGACATATTGCTTAGGGTCCATCATTGAGTCCACAGATCCATCATTGAGTCCACAGTGCTCTCTGGATGTAGGTGAACTACAACTCCAAAACTCAAGGTCAATGCCCACCAAACCCTTCTAATATTTTCTGTTGGTCATGGGAGTCCTCTGTGCCATGTTTGGTTCAGTTCCATCATTGGTGGAGTTCAGAATGCTCATTGATTGTAGGTGAACTATAAATCCCAGGAACTACAACTCCAAAATGACAAAATCAATTTTTTTGGGTGATAGTTACTCCTTGGGTTAGTAGGTGTCTTGTGGCCAAATTGGGTGGCAATTTGTCCAGTAGTTTTTGAGTTAAACCCACAAATGAACATTATATTTTTATTTATATAGATTGTTCCTGAGTCTCAATTTCAGAATCATTAAAATGAGTCACATCTATAAACTTACTAATATTGTCCAACAATTAAAATGTAGAAGCCACCATTTTATGAAGAATCTAACTGTTAGATACATCTCAGATGAGGGCTGGAAAGCTGAATCGTAGCTTGGAGAGAAGGAAGCAGTGAGAATTCTTATTGTCCTTTTGTTTTCTCCATCTTTTCCTTCTCCGTTGCAGGAAGTGATTTCAGAGGAGAGGCAACAGGGAGGACAGTTGCTGGAAGAACCAAAGCTGTTGCATTTCAAAGGGAATACCTTCAGTCTTCAGATATCTGTCCTTGATATCCCACCTTTCCTCTGGAGAATCAAACCATTCACTGCATGTCAGGTATTTGGGTAACAAGACTGGTGTTTTTGTGCATAATTTTCACATAAATTTAAAGCTCCAAGGCATTTCTCAGTGATCTTCAATGGTATCCCTAATGGGCATACATGCTTTATGAATAAATAATATAGTTTGTGATTGGTCTCCTTGCTCTGTGTTGATAAGATATTTTCCAAGGAATGGGTCCAAATCATTAATGACCCACCAGATATTTTTACCTCCATCTTTATATGTGGTTTTAATGCTAATTAGCCTAGCATGCCTATTAATTAAATCCCTGTGCTACAAATTACAACTAAAAGTTTGGAGAGCATTGTGGAAATCAATCATCAGTTCATTGTAATTTAACAAGACTTGAGCTTTTTTGAGTTTGAGCGATATATGCTATGAAGATTACATGGACATTCATTGAGATTGGGAGACAATGGGTAGGGAAATAATGTAGTTAACTTTAATACCGTATATACTCGAATATAAGCCGACCCGAATATAAGCCGAGGCACCTAATTTTACCACAAAAAACTGGGAAATCTTATTGACTCGAGTATAAGCCGAGGGTGAAAAATGCAGCTGCTACTGGCCAGTTTGACAGATGATCACCCAGTTTTCTGTCATTCCCTCCCCCCTCGTGGAGCACGAGCTTTCCTCGGCGGCGGCAGAGGAGAAGGAAGCCCCTTCGGCAGGCTTTTCCGCAGGCTTGCTCTCCTTCTTCCTTGTCCCATGCGTGGCCGCAGTGGAGGGGGCAGCGGCGGGAGGATGCAGGAAAGCCGTGCATGGCTGCACGTTGCTTAAGTCATACTGACCAACCGTTTGCACAGGGTTCTATACTTCACACTTTAACAACACAACCGTTCAATGCTAAGGCTTCCTGCCAAAACTACTGAACAAGCCATTACCTGCCGTACACCAGTACTGCCAACTGTTGAGGAATTACAAAGGTGGAGGCATTACTTTTCATTTAACTTGTATACTACTGACAGAGAATAGTAAAAACTTGGAATGATTATTGAAGAAAGGCAAGGAAGAAAGTGCGAAGGTAGATTTACAGCTAAATATCCAGAACACAAAAATACTGGTCACATATGATTTTTAGTGTCAAATAGATAGTTGAAGACATTGACATGATGAAGACGTTGAAGCTATGAAGACACTGAAGTTGTGAAAAAACTAGACAAGATCCAAAAATGATTTTAAAAACCCTATAACAACAAAATTAAGATTGTCCATGCCATGAATACCAGCATGTTTACCCTTCTATGGGCAGAGCTATCTCACAAATCACAATGCAACTCTAACCATGAAAGGATGCAGTGCCCGTTCCTCCTCTTTCCTTTCCATCCATATGCTTCACCAGAATGTTTTGTTCACAGTAGTTCATTACTGGGAACCAACTTCAGTTTTGAAGCACAATGCCTGCAAACATAGACTAATACATGACAGCATTGCATTCTTTCATGATAACTAGGATGGATTAGATGCCAACTCTGCCCACAGGTCTGCTCTGGAAATGTCATCACAGGACCTAATCACATCACCCACAATCTCAGAGGTGCCTTCACTTGCTCACCCTCTAATGAGATGTGTGCTATCCTCTGTCAACAATGTCCTTCAGCACTCTTCCTTGAGCTGTTAGAGAATACCAAGACATAGATCAGATATTAGGAATGGCAATACACAAAATACTGTCTTCCTGGGAATACAATCTCTTGACCTCAGAATGGCTGTTTTTGGACAAATAAACTACCACTGGAAAGAGAAATAGTGGAACTGGAATATATCCACAAACTCCAATCCATCAATAGTAGCTTGAGCAGAGATGTTTTCCTAGCACATTACATATATTATAACACTCATTAAAAGGTAAAAGGTTAAAACAAAGGTTAAAATATGCAATTCCAATCCAGTTCAAATATCTGCATCACCCCTACAGTTTAATAAGAATTCTGTATTAACACCGATAATAATGGAAAGGGATTTCCCAAAGGAATTAAAGGGAAACATTAGATAAAGAATTTGGAAAAAGGGAACTAAAAAGGGTAGGAAATTGAATAGAACAAAAAATTGGAAAAATAAAAAAATGAAGATGAACGGAAAGGAATAAATATTTCATGGCTCCACTGGATCCCATTAGAAAAATGTAATAAAAATTGTTGTGTCCGAAACAAAAACCGGAATCAGGTAACTCAAGGCAGTTTACAAGCAACACTTCAATGCACACAATATAATAAATACAACTAAAAACATTAATACATAATATAAAACAACAATAAATCAATAAAACAAAAATCATTAGTGTTTCCTTGTTTAAACATTGTCCAGTATATTTCATTTTCCTATATCGGTTGCTCTGCATTTGCAATTTCTTGCTCAATAAGGAATGTCTTGACTTTTTTTCCAAAATGTTTAAAGGAAGCGGGGGCAATCTGATATCCAAGAGGCCACCACCGAGAAGGCCCTGTCTCTTATCCTGGCCAGATGTACTTGTGACGACGGCGGGATCGAGAGCAGGGCCTCCCCAGATGATCTTAGGATCCTAGATCAATGTTTCTCAATCTGGGGGTTGGGACTTCTGGGAGGATCATGAGAGGGTGTCAGAGGGGTTGTAAAAGACCTTCAGAAAACACAGTATTTTCTGTTGGTCATGGGGGTTCTGTGTGGGAAGGAAGGAAGGAAGGAAGGAAGGAAGGAAGAGGAGGAGGAGGAGGAAGAGGAGGAGGAGGAGGAGGAGGAGGAGGAGATCAACAACAACAACAACAACAACTTTATTTTTCTACCCTGCCTCCATCTCCCCGAAGGGACTCGGGTCGGCTTACATGCGGCCCAAGTCTAAGGCAGAATACAATTCAAAGCAAAAACAATCAAGACAGCATAAAACAGTGTAAAACAGCATACCAATAATAGCTAGCAACAACAATAACAGCAGACTAATTTTGGAGGGGGGGGAGGAAAACCACTGCGTGAACTAAAGGATAAGTGGTTTAATAAGGTGGATGACAATGTATAACGGCATAGGAAATATCATGAAAACAGAGTAAATTAACAGGATCAGTTAATATAGTATAGGAAATCATATTGAATTACAATTTGGGCCAATTCTATTGTTGGTGGGGTTCAGAATGCTCTTTGATTGTAGATGAACTATAAATCCCAGCAACTACAACTCCCAAATGTCAAGTCTATTTTCCCCAAACTCCACCAGTGTTCACATTTGGGCACATTGAGTATTCATGCCAAGTTTGGTCCAGATCCATCACAGCTTGAGTCCACAGTGCTCACTAGAGTTAGGTGAACTACAACTCCAAAACTCAAGGTCAATGCCCACCAAACCCTTCCAGTATTTTTTCTGAGTCATGGGAATTCTGTGTGCCAATTTGGTTCAATTCCATCGTTGGTGGAGTTCAGAATTCTGTTTGATTGTAGGTTAATTATAAATTCCAGCAACAACTCCCAAATGACAAAATCATTCCCTGCCCCAACCCTACCAGTATTCAAATTTCAGTGTATTGGGTATTTGTGCCAAATTTGGTCCAGTGAATGAAAATACATCCTGCATATCGGATATTCACATTATGATTCATAACAGTAGCAAAATTACAGTTATGAAGTCGCAATGAAATATTGTTATGGTTGGGGGTCACCACAACATGAGGAGCTGTACTAAGGGGTCATGGCATCAGGAAGGTTGAGAAATACTGTTCTAAATGGTTCATAAGGGGAGATGCATTCGGACAGGTAAGCTGGGCTGGAACCGTTTCAAGGAAATAATACTAAAAGAGAAAATAACAAACAGGATACAATACGAAGGTGTAATGGTGCTTCTGCCCATATGCATTTGTATTATTATTATTATTATTATTATTATTATTATTATTATTATTTGTTCCTTTGCCTTCTTCACTCCTCTTTCCTTCTTTTGTCTAGGAAGTTCCATTCTCTCGGGTGTGGCGCAACAATCAGCAGCCACTGCACTGTGCCTTTTCGCTGGAGCGCTACACTCCTGCCACCACGCAGCTTTCTTGCAAAATCTGTGTCAGACAAGTCAAGGGCCATGAACAAATCTTACAGATTCAGACATCTATTCTTGAGGCAAGTATCTCCCCTGCTCTCCCACCGCCAATGCAATATCAATTTTCCCTTGCTGTGCTGGTACGGCTGTACCAGGAGCTCCAACTTCTTCTCCTTTCTATTGAATGTTTGCATGTATTCCAAAGTTCAATTCATTTTGCAATCATAGGGCCAATAACCCATCAATTATCATTATGTTCTTTAGTTCTGCCCCTTTTTCTGGGTTAAGGAGGGAAAAAGGGGACCTCTAGTTCAGTTCACACAGAGAAGCCTTTCGTACAGGACGTGAATCAGTTCCACCTGTAGAAAGCTTCGTCTTTTACAGCTTTGCTGGGGGGATCCAGTCCCACAGCTCTACAGAGAACTACAGCATAGCCTTTGTTGGGGAATTTAGTTCCACAACTCTACAGCCAGCCTTGGGAATTGAAAGCCTTCTTTCCTCTTGGAAATCTACTAAAGGACTCTGTTTGGTAAGGACCACTCGCGGCAGCCATAAAGCAATTTGGACCGGGTGTAGGGGCCCACGCCAGCAGAGCTTAAGTCAGATTGCCCAGGGAGGGGTCAAGGATTTCCCTTGTAGGAGGAAGAAACAGTTTATGAAGAAAGTTGCCTGTCCCTTGTGGACAAGATTTAAGCAAGCCACCAGTTGATTCAAAGCCTTGAAGTATTTGTTTGATTTATTAAAGATTTAAATAATAATAAAAACTTTGTTGAACTTTCTAAGTCTTTAAAAGAACTTTGTGTGGGGAAATCCGAAAGGCCTCTCAGCCGAGGCACCCCTGGCATCCCGTTGGGCATTCAGAAAACACATCCTGTCTACAGACTCTTTCACGGGCCCAGCGCATGACAGCACACTTGCTCATATTCCTTAGTTAGTTTTATTTTCTGAACAAAAAAAAGTCACTGGTATTTTATTTTGAATATGTGAACATCTGTTGCTAACATTGCTTAGATGCTATGCAATTTTGAAAGACGTAATTGAAGGAGAAGAGAATGGTCTGAAATGATGCCGGTAAAAAAATAAATAAACACCATCTTTCAAGATAGGATGCAAATATTCAACTGATTTGTCTTTAGACGTGAGGACAAATAATTTTTGTGGTTTTCTTCCCAATTAGAGAAGAGATTAATGCAGTTCTTTCCTGCATGCTTGCCCACTATTCCCTGCCTCATGTACAGAGTTAACTTTAATAATACTTGATTGGAACTTTTAATTGTTCTTTCAAGATAGGATGCAAATATTCAACTGATTTGTCTTTAGATGTGAGGACAAATAATTTTTGTGGTTTTCTTCCCAATTAGAAAAGAGGTGAATGCAGTTCTTTCCTGTATGCTTGTCCACTCTGCCCTGCCTCATGTACAGAGTTAACTTTAATAATACTTGGAACTTTTAATTGTGTTAGATAAGATTTTTAATGACTGGGAATGATTAACTCTTTTGAGCTGTAACCTGAAACAGCAGAATTATTTTTGGCAGTTCATGATACCTACAGAACCATAGTTATAAAAGTGTACAAGTCCAATTTAAAAGAAAAACAAAGCATAGTAGAGGTAGCTTCAAAGAAAAGTAGGCAGAAACATTAAAAAAGTACAGAAAATCACACTGTTTTGGAGTCAACGCAACTGCTCAACACAAATCTGTTTCACCACAATTGAAGAGAGAGTTGACAAGCTGGAATGTGTCCAGAGGAGGGCGACTAAAATGATCAAGGGTCTGGAGAACAAGCCCTATGAGGAGCGGCTTAAAGAGCTGGGCATGTTTAACCTGAAGAAGAGAAGGCTGAGAGGAGACATGATAGCCATGTATAAATATGTGAGAGGAAGTCATAGGGAGGAGGGAGCAAGCTTGTTTTCTGCTTCCCTGGAGACTAGGACACGGAACAATGGCTTCAAACTACAAGAAAGGAGATTCCATCTGAACATGAGGAAGAACTTCCTGACTGTGAGAGCTGTTCAGCAGTGGATCTCTGCCCCAGAGTGTGGTGGAGGCTCCTTCTTTGGAGGCTTTTAAACAGAGGCTGGATGGCCATCTGTCAGGGGTGCTTTGAATGATTTTCCTGCTTCTTGGCAGGGGGTTGGACTGGATGGCCCACGAGGTCTCTTCCAACTCTATGATTCTATGGCTAGCCATGTGTTCCTTGCCCATGCCATGGACATATCTGTTTGAAACTTGGTTTGTTTTCCTTATTCCTGAATTATGGCATGTGTTTGTTTCTCCCACTAGAACTCAATCTATTGAATGCTATGTGCTGACTCTTAATGATTTCCTCTTCAACCAGATTCATTGATATGGCAAATACCACTTAATCCTGCTTCAAAAAGATGATAGGAAGGCATGGTTAATTCAGCATCCACACACATGCACCTACACACACGCACACACACACAATCTCCGTGCTTTGAGTTATCATTGTTGTTGTTCTTTTTCTGAGACAGGTAGCAACAGCTTATCTTCAAAGTGCAGAGAACCCAATCTGCTGAATATTTAATTGAAAACAATGAGCAAATGCGATGTATCTGCAGTGTTCCTATTACTTTGCATGCATAGCTTTCAAGATGTGCCATAAATGTTATATGAAAAAGGCTTATGGTGCCACTTGTATTAAATATTTACACTGCCTGGAAACCCCAAAAATCTCAAACATAGGGCACATCCTGATGTGCTGAATAGTGAGAAAAACACATATGAGGAAAAAAAATAATTAAAATGGAAAAAAGAAGGATATTCTTGACAGCTGTAGCTTTACGGTGTCAGGGACTGTAAGTAATAACAAGACAAGTTGAAAAATGTGTGATAGAAATGAGCAAAGTAAGAAAGAGGCTACATGCAGCAAGGACGCAGTCCTCCCCATTTCTTTATGAGTGCACTCGCGGTGTTTATCCTGCTACCACTGTACCTTAGCCATTTCTCCTTTAATATTTATTTATTTATTGATGACATAAATGCTGCCCTTCTCACCCCGAAGGGGACTCAGAGTGGCTTACAAGATATATATACATCTATATATATCTATATATATAAATGCTCTGTGCATAATGAGTACCTTAAAAACAAAAGAACCAATGAACGAAATCACACCAAATTTGGCAACAAAATGTCTCACAACACAAGGAGTGACCATCACTCAAAAAATTATGATTTTGTCATTTGGGAGTTGTAGTTGCTGGGATTTATAGTTCACCTACAATCAAAGAGCATTCTGAACTCCACCAAGATGGAATTGAACCAAACTTGGCACACAGGACTCCCTTGACCAACAGAAAACACTAGAAGGGTTTGGTGGGCATTGACCTTGAGTTTGGAAGTTGTAGTTCACCTACATTCAGAGAGGACTGTGGACTCAAACAATGATGGATCTGGACCAAACTTGGCACAATACTCAATATGCCCAAATATAAACACAGATGGAGTTTGAGGAAATAGACCTTGACATTTGGGATTTGTAGTTACTGGGATTCACAGTTCACCTACAATCAAAGAGCATTCTGAATCCCACAAACGACAGAATTGGGGCAAACTTCCCACACAGAACTCCCATGACCAACGGAAAATACTTAAGGCCATCCAATCCAACTCCCTTCATCAGGGCAAGGAAACACAATCAAAGCCCTCCTGACAAAGAGCCATCCAGCCATAGATAGATATAGATAGATAGATAGATAGATAGATAGATAGATAGATAGATAGATAGATAGATAGATAGATGATTCACACAGAGAGATATAGTATCATAGATTTGAAAGGGACCCTTAAAGAAGGACAATGATATCTTGCATGTCCCAGGGTGGGCTAACCAGACACTCTCCACATCAACACTGACAAAGAAACAGCAAGAAATACTGTTTACCCACAAGCATAATTATATATATTAGAAACCAATACTTTCTCATTACTTTATTTTCCAGATCAACAGACCGGGTCACAGCAACGCGTGGCAGGGGACAACTAGTACAATATATTATGTTACTAGCTGTACCTGCCACGTGTTACTGTGACCAACCTTCCCTCTTTCTCTCTTCTTTCCCTCCTTCCTTCACTCCCTCTTTCCTTCCTTCCCATCTTTCCTTCTCTTCTTCCTTCCTTCTCTATCTCTTTCCTTCCTTCCCCCTTTTTCTTTCTCTTCTGCTGTCTCTTTCCTTTCTTCTCTCTTTCCTTCTTTCCTTCCCTCTCTCTCTATATCTCCCCCCTTCCTTCACTCCCTCTTTCCTTCCTTCCTTCCCGTCTTTCCTTCTCTTCTTCCTTCCTTCTCTCTTTCCATCCTTCTTTCCCTTCCTTCCTACTTTCTTTCCCTTCCTTCCTTCCTCTTCCTCCCTTCCTACTTTCTTTCCCATCCTTCTTTCCTTTCCCTTCCTTCCTACTTTCTTTCCCTTCCTTCCTTCCTTCCTTCCTTCCTTCCTTCCTTCCTTCCTTCCTTCCTCTTCCTTCCTTTCCATCTAACTTTGTTTCCCCTCCCCTCCTCTTTCTTCCCTTTTTCTGTATTGTCATTTACCTTTTCATCATTTAGCTTTTTGGGGCATTTTAAGTCCTTTCTGCTGTGTTTTTCAGTGTTTTTATGAGTGAAGGATATACATTGGGTTGTTAGGTTGTTATTGTGTCCAAATTTGGTGTCAATTTGCCCAGTGGTTTTTGAGTTCTGTTAATCCCACAAACGAACATTACATTTTTATTTATATAGATTATTACATTATCTTATTATAATTATTTATATATTGTATATTGTAATATTAGTAATATTACATGTAATAAAATATATAATTATAATATATTAGTAGTAGTATTGTATTGCATTACATTATAATGTAATATAATGTATATACATATATTATATTATTAACATAGTACAGGAGACAAGATGGAACTGTCCCCTGCCCCCCCCTCTCTTCATTGTGGCCCAGAGCAGCAGTTGGTGCTGGAGGAAGGGGTCCCCAACTGATGACATATGTAGGAGGCAATGACAATTTGGAATAGCTATGGTATACGATTTCATGGAATTTTTAATATTTATACTAGGATGATTTTTTGTTTGTCTTATGTTTAATTGTTTTAATTTATTTTAAGTTCATAGTCATTTCATAGAATCAAAGAGTTGGAAGAGACCTCATGGGCCATCCAGTCCAACCCCCTGCCAAGAAGCAGGAATGTTGCATTCAAATCACCCCTGACAGATGGCCATCCAGCCTAGTATTAGTTATTATGATTTCTTTGTATACTGTATGTTGGCACTGAATTTTTGCCATTAGTATGCTGTAAACCGCTACGAGTCCCCCCAGGGTTGAGAAAGGCAGTATATAAATAGAGTAAATAATAATAATAATAATAATAATAATAATAATAATAATAATAATTCCTAGACACTTGGGAAGATCAAACTGCAAAGACTCTGGCACAAGCTAGTCAAGGTGGTCCCAGTGGTGATTGGCACACTGGGTGCAGTGCCTAAAGACCTTGGCCTGAACTTAAACACAATCGGTGCTGACAAAATTACTATCTGCCAGCTGCAAAAGGCCACTCTACTGGGATGTGCACGCATTATTCGCCGATACATCACACAGTCGTAGACACTTGGGAAGTGTCCGACGTGTGATCCAATTCAACAGCCAGCAGAGTGTCTGCTGTGGAATCATCTTGTTGTGTTTCAAATAATAATAATAATAATAATAATAATAATAATAATAATAATAATAACTCTTTTATTCCCTCTGTTATGTATTCTCCATTGAGAACTTTTGGTTTGAAATGTAAAAGGGAGAAATATGTCTTGGATCCCCCAACCCTCTTCCAGTTCACCTTTTGTTTTGTTTCACCTTCCACTTCCTATTTTGCACTGCAGTGGGATTACAACCTTTTTCATCCTTGGCCATGCTAACCTGGGATTATGGGAACTGTTATTCATATGAATAGCATCCATTTGGTGAGACTTCTTGGGTTTTTTAAAAATGAGTTGTTGGGAAATACTGCTGCTATTAAATGGATCCGTCTTTCACTTTCTTCCTTCTTTTCCATAAAGTTATTAAATGTACCTCCCAAAACTTAAAGGGCATTTCCCTATCTGGTATAGCAAATTCAATTTCCCCACTTTTTCTTCAAACAGATTGAAGCAACAAAAAATGCCCCTCTATATGTGTTGTTTTCTGACATGGAATTTGATGGTTATGTTTAAGCTAACTGCAAATCAGTTTCACACAAAAAAAATGTCCAGAGAAGTAATCAAGATGTTTCTGAGCAATCTCAACCCATTTTCATGTTTTTCCATCCAGACTGAAAGAGAGACAATCCCTTTCTTTGCACATGAGGACAGCAACTTCCCAGTTCAGATGGGACCGCAAGCCTTCAAGATACCATACTCTATCAGGCAAAGGATATGTGCAACGTTTGACACGCCCAACGCCAAAGGCAAAGACTGGCAGATGTTAGCACAGAAAAACAGCTTCAACAGGTGATTATCCATGACAACATTTAAATATTAGCAGAATAGTAGGAATGCATCGTGTAAATAGGATGTCCTCCAGCCTTGGCTTAGTGTCTTAAGTGTTTCAAAAGTTATTATTATATTTATTACTTACTTACTTACTTACTTAGGCGATCCCTCATAGTCTGAGGATGATGGTCCTCCAAGTTCAGTGTCCTGGCGGTGGGTTCGTAGGTGGCTGTGGAGCCCTATTCTTGATTTGTATGTTCTCCCGCAGTGAGGGCATTGGTTTCCAGGTGGGAGGCGGTCCCGCTCGGGGTTGGCTTGATGCACCTTCCTCTTGGCACTTCTCTCTTTCACCCTCCATTCGTGCCTCTTCAAATTCTGCAGCACTGCTGGTCACAGCTGACCTCCAGCTTTTTTGATCTTTAATGAGAATGTATGCAAATGACAGCAATGGAGATACTTATATATTTACTTACTTACTTAGGCGATCCCTTGTTGTCCAAGTAGGATTGTCTTCTAAGATCGGTGTCCTGGCGGTGGGTCCGTAGGTGACTGTGGAGCCCTATTCTTGATCTGCATGTTCTCTCGCAGTGAGGGCATTGGTTTCCAGGGGGAAGGCGGTCCCGGTCGGGGTTGGCTTGATGCGCCTTCCTCTTGGCACGTTTTTCTTTTTTCCCCTCCATTCGTGCCTCTTCAAATTCTGCAGCACTGCTGGTCACAGCTGACCTCCAGCTGGAGCGCTCAAGGGCCAGGGCTTCCCAGTTCTCAGTGTCTATGCCAGAGTTTTTAAGGTTGGCTTTGAGCCCATCTTTAAATCTCTTTTCCTGTCCTCTAACATTCCGTTTTCCGTTCTTGAGTTCGGAGTAGAGCAACTGCTTTGGGAGACAGTGGTCGAGCATCCGGACAACGTGGCCGGTCCAGCGGAGTTGATGGCGGAGGACCATTTCAGTGCTGATGGTCTTTGCTTCTTCCAGCACACTGACGTTTGTCCACTTGTCTTCCCAAGAGATTTGCAGGATTTTCTGGAGGCAGCACTGATGGAATCGTTCCAGGAGTTGCATGTGATGTCTGTAGACAGTCCACGTTTCGCAGGCATATAGCAGGGTTGGGAGGACAATAGCTTTATAAACAAGCACCTTGGTATCCCTACGGATGTCCCAGTCCTCAAACACTCTCTGCTTCATTCGGAAAAATGCTGTACTCGCAGAGCTCAGGCGGTGTTGTATTTCAGTGTCGATATTGACTTTGGTGGAGAGGTGGCTGCCAAGGTAGCGGAAATGATCAACATTTTCTAATGTTACACCATTAAGCTGTATTGCTGGCACTGGAGAGGGATTGGCTGGTGTCTGCTGGAACAGCACTTTGGTTTTCTCGATGTTCAATGACAGGCCGAGCTTCTCGTATGCTTCTGCGAAGGTATTTAGAGTGGCTTGTAGGTCTTCTTCTGAATGTGCACACTGATATTATTATTATATCTACACACTGATAATGAATTGAAACATATCTTGAAGAGTGAACAATTCAAAGTCCTTCAATGGTCAGGTGGTGCTTATTTGTATTATTTTAATTCATATGACCTCCCTCTGTGCTTTGAGATTTGCCACAGGAAATTCACATAGGGAACTATATTTGCAGAAGGCAATATTACCATCCATTAAGGACAGAGATTTGGGACTTCCTTACCTATGGTCAGGAAATAATCCTGTTAAATTGCATTTGAATGTTACAGGAATATAGCGTTATCTTAAAAGAAATCCATTTTAGTGGTTGTATTTTGACTCAGTTTCTCTCAAGACTTATCAATTTGCTCAGATAGAAGCACTGATGTTTTCTTGAAGGCAACATTTAAAAGGCATCCCTTTGTTTTCCTGTCATTTTTCTTTTAAATCAGCAGAGATAGGATGGAAAAACAAGTCACTACAGAATCAATCTTGGTAGTCTGAACCTAATACTTAAAACATAAGGGAAAAGCTAGATCAAGACCTTGCGTTCCTCTTTACTCCCACACCCAAATTTGGACTAAAATATTGGCCAAATTCTCTATATTGTAAAATAGTGGATGTTTTTCCAAACTCTTAGTCTTTGTGCATTTGGTTGTTTGGTATATACATTTGGTACATTGTGGAACTCAAGTATGTGTTTTCATTATATTGTTTACACTTTGAAAAAGCAAATGATACTCCAAAGGCAATTGGAACTCAATGTTTTTGGTTTATTTATTTATTTACCATATTTATATACCGCTTTTCTCAGCCCGAAGGCGACTCAAGGCGGTTTACAATCAGCTTAATTCAATGCCCCCAACAACATAAAATATAGTTAAAACATTAACATATAGTACAAACCATACAAAAACAATAAAAGCAATAAAAAACAATCAAACACAAGTCCTCAACATCTCATTACTAAAATCATTTTCCAATAGCATCGTCCAATCGTTCCGTGGATCTAAATTAGCCTGTTACACTACATCTGTGAATGCTTGCTCAAAGAGCCAAGTTTTAACTCTTTTTCGAAAAGTTAGGAGGGAGGAGGTCGATCTGATATCTCTAGGGAAGCCATTCCATAGCCGAGGGGCCACCACTGAGAAGGCCCCGTCTCTCGTTCCCACCAGTCGCATCTGTGAAGGAGGCAGGACCAAGAGCAGGGCCTCCCCAGATGATCTTTGAGATCTAGATTTTTTATTTATTTCTCATGTCAGGGCAGCCAGTCAATTATATTACATTTCTAACAAGAACAAAGCAAACAAATAGAGAAAATACAAAATGTGTGAGTTTGGTAGTTGATTAAATGTGCTTTGACCAGTATCCGTCCCCTTGGAGTGCTTCTGGTGTTACTATAAGAAGGTCCTCCATGGTGCATGTGGCTGGGCTCAGGTTGCATTGCAGCAGATGGTCAGTGGTTTGCTCCTCTCCGCACTCGCATGTCGAGGATTCCACTTTGTAGCCCCATTTCTGAAGGTTGGCTCTGCATCTCGTGGTGCTGGAGCGCAGTCTGTTCAGTGCCTTCCAAGTCGCACAGTTTTTTGTGTGCCCAGGGGGGAGTTTCTCATTTGGTATCAGCCATTGGTTGAGGTTCTGTGTTTGAGCCTGCCACTTTTGGACTCTCGCTTGCTGAGGTGTTCCAGCGAGTGTATCTGTACATCTTAGAAAACTATGTCTGGATTTAAGTCATTGACATGCTGGCTGATACCCAAACAGGGGATGAACTGGAGATGTCTCTGCCTTGGTCCTTTCACTATTGGCTGCCACTTCCTGGCGGATGTCAGGTGGTGCGATACCGGCTAGACAGTGTAATTTCTCCAGATCTAGATGATTCATAGATTTCATAGGTTTGGTGTTGAATGAGCGTTCAGTTGTTTTCAGTGTAAGTATAGATAGACTATTTTCATCCAATTTATTCTTGTTGCAGTCACTCTTGAGTTCCATATGCTGCCTTAACTTTGTTCAGACTTCTATTATTCATGAGGAGACCAGAAACCGACAACTGTTGGTGGACAATCTGACATGTTGTCTACCATAATCATAGATTCTGTGGCAATACAGAGAAACCCCCAGGTACACACTAGACTTTGGCTGAAATCCTGCATCAAAGACATCATCTTGATATTGTAGATAAGCTTTTATTCCCACTCTGACCTGGAAGTCAGCCATGCAGCACAATGAAAGTCTGTGCTGCTGCTGAGTGTGATGCTTCAGGATGATGTGAGGAGTCCCCTCCTGCCAGCAAACAATGCTAAGATAAACAGATCTCCACGGGGGTCCCTGCTCCTTCTCCTTGTAGTATTGCTTACTGTAGGGTCACATTTTCCTACAATATTCTGTTCACCAGCAGCAGATTGACTGACTGGCTTTCAAGATGGTCTTCAGGATCATTTGTGATATTTACAGTCTTCATAATAGAAAGGCAAAAGATTATTGCTTTCCATGTTTGGTATCTTCAAGCCAGTAATTATGTCATGAATAACTTTTCAATATATTGTCGAAGGCTTTCATGGCTGGAATCACTAGGTTCTTGTAGGTTTTTTTCGGGCTATATGGCCATGTTCTAGAGGCATTTCTCCTGACGTTTCGCCTGCATCTATGGCAAGCATCCTCAGAGGTAGTGAGGTCTGTTGGAATTAGGACAATGGGTTTATATATCTGTGGAATGGCTGGGGTGGGGCAAAGAGCTCTTCTCTGCTGGAGCTAGGTGGGAATGTTTCAACTGACCACCTTCATTAGCATTTGAAGGCCTGGCTGAGCCTGGGAAAATCTTTTGTTGAGAGGTGTTAAGATGTGCCTGGTTGTTTCCTCTCTGTTGTTTTGCTGTTGTAATTTTAGAGTTTTTTTAATACTGGTAGCCAGATTTTGTTCATTTTCATGGTTTCTTCCTTTCTGTTGAAATTGTCCACATGCTTGTGGATTTCAATGGCTTCTCTGTGTAGTCTGGCATGGTGGTTGTTGGAGTGGTCCAGCATTTCTGTGGAGGAAAACCCAGAGGAAAAGTGTTCCTGCCATACATCAAGGGAACCACTGACCCCATAGGGAAGCTGATGAGGAAACACAACATACAAACTATCTACAGACCCACCAAGAAAATCCAACAAATGCTTCGTTCAGCAAAGGACAAGAGGGATCCTCTCACTCTGCAGGAGTCTACCGTGTACCATGCAGCTGTGGACAAGTCTACATAGGGACCACCAAACGCAGCATTGCCCAAACACGAATCAAGGAACATGAAAGGCACTGCAGACTACTTCAACCAGAGAAATCAGCCATAGCAGAGCACCTGATGAACCAGCCTGGACACAGCATATTATTTGAGAACACAGAAATGCTACCAAAGGTAAAAACCTTAGAATTGGTGATGAGAGGTAACTTAATTAAGGGCTTTAGAGCCAAGTCTCTTTCTCATGTCTATCTGATAGAAAGTTTGATGGTAGAATGGAAAAGGAAAAGCTCTGCCCTCCTCCAGGAAGAGGTGGAGCCAAGCAATTGAGCTGAGAAGCAATATAACTGGTGCAAACAACATTGATTGAC